AAAAAAAAAATTCCCCTGCTGTCATGCAAAAACACCCCTTTTGCTTTACAGTGGGATGAAAATGGAGCCTTTGGGGAACAAGATCTTTCTAGAGGAAGTAAAGTTCACAAGTTTATAGTAGGGAAACCTGTTAAAGGATAATTAACAGTTGATTTTGTCTCCATTTCACTCATGGTCTCTTCATTGGTTTGTTTTCGGCAGCATGAAATACTTTGCTTTTAGCGTTGGCTCTCTGTTACACAACCTGTGGCTGCAGTACATGTTTTAAGAGGCATACAAGTCCATCCATCCATTTTCTTAACCGCCTATCCCACCTGTCTGCGGCCAAATTATATTCATTTAATTAGGATGTTTTTCAAACACTTGCCATACGTAAAGCCTTTCTAATGGTTATAGGGGAGCTTGTGTCCTTGTGCTTTCATCTGGTTTGCAGTGCAAATTAATTACTTAATTACACTTAATTACTTTGATTTTCTCCATACACGTTTATCCAGGTTTCTTATAAATCTAATGTTGCTTTAGTACTGCTGTAATTGCTCAGATTTTTTTTTTCTTCCTTTGTTGTTAGGAGAAACTGAAGCACTTTACAACTGTCTGCTACCAGATGAAGAGAAATTAAAGATTTTAATGTGACTGCTGAAAACCTTTTGGGTGAATTATAGCCGATCGTAGTCTGTCGTCTCCAGAGAGAATAGTGTGGGATGGTGGGATTCTCTGAATAGTGGTTACTACCATTTCCCACTACTTGGCATGTAGTAGTAGTAGTCTGCTTCAGACCGTACTTTTTATTTTTTGGATAGGGTCATCATATTGAAGGTCTTAAGCGAGGCCTGGGTGCTTGCTCTTTGCCTACACCTAGTTCACATTTTTCTTGGTCCACCAAGTCTTATTCCTCTAACCTTAAGCTTACCTCCGGTATTTTATTTAATGTTTGTGACTAGAATATTTAAGCTTTTTGTAGTATCTGCCACATATCATTGAGGAACAGGTTTGATTATACTCCAGTCGTAATTACCTAGTGGCCCTAGACATTGAGCCAGGCGTGCGTGCGGGTGTGGTTGTGGTGCTAGTAAAATGTTTATTGGCTGGCGTTCACAGCCACGCTCACGCCCCTACGTTAAGGACCTTGGCATAAATGCGATTTGGACTATAACCTTCATTAATGTTATCTGTGTGTTGAGTATTCATGTTTACTCATTCTTTGCACCACGAGTGCTCCGAGTTTCAGAGCAAAAGCTCCCCTCTGTATGATTTTTTTTTTTGTACTCAGTGTTACTGTAAGGTCACAGCTGGGGCTGTGTTACTTTATTATTTTACTTTTAAGTTTGCTGTGTGTGAATGTAAACATTGCAGACATGCAAGAGTTCATCTGCAGTTTAATTATTTTCTCTGTTCAGCCTGATTGTTTCTAAACTGAAGGTTAGTCGGTGTGAAATTTCAGAAATGCCCGCTAATTGTCTAAAGTATTCACTCACCTATACAAATCATGGAATTCAGGTGTTCCAATCACTTCCATGGCCACAGTTTTAAAGTCAAGCACCTCGACATGTAGACTACATCTACAAACATATGTGGAAGAATGGATTTCTCAGTGAATTCCAGTGTGGTACCATGATGGGACACCACCTGTGCAACAGTTCAGTGATGAAGTTTTCTCACTACTAGATATTCCACAGTCAGCTGTTAGTGGTATTATAACAAAGTGGAAGCGATTGGGAATGACGGCAACTCAGCCACAAAGTGGCAGTCACATAAAATCAGAGAGCGGGGTTACTGGATGCTGAGGTGCATAGTGTGCACAGGTTGCCAGATTTCTGCAGAGTCAGTTTCTACAGACCTCCAAACTTCATATTTGGAAGAATGGCCATCCAAACCTTACATCACCAGTACAATGCTGAGCGGCAGATGCTGTGAGTAAAGCATGCTGCAGATGATCTGACTATGTAATA